GCTTGCCGCCTTAGGTATCGTGATCTGAAGCTTTGTTAGAATGATGCAGTGTCGGAGTTCCAGGATCGCATTTCCACCTTGGAGGCACAGCTGGCTGCCGCTTCTTCCTTTGGCGTGGTCGTCCCTATGAGAGTTTCCGACAGAAGGTCAATCAGTCTCTCTCTTAGTCACTCATGTCATGGTCGTGTCCTGGTATTGCTGGGAATAGGCTCGCAAGCTCGATGGATAGCTTGTGCGGTCAAAGCAGGGTTTATGCTTGATGCTTCCCTACCTCGTGCTCGGCACGTGACGGCTTAAGCTGTGAATGTATTCTGAGTTTTGCTATCAATTACACAAGTGTTCTTTCATCGCATTACCACTCTCTCGCAGCGCAAAGCTGCTAGTCCCGCCCAATACACCTCGTCGCATAGCGGATCTGGAGTCCCAGCTCGCGCGGTCCCAATCTGACTTATAAGCTGCGCGCGATCGTCAGTCTGCTCTCGCTTCGGAGCTTCGTGAATCAGCTACTTCCCAGTAGGCTGCTCAAGCAGAAGTAGTTCGTCTCGAGGCCGTGATTGAGTACAAGACGCGTCGCCTCCGCATCTTGCGTGACAACTATGAGCGTCACTTGAGGGTTGCCGACACCGCGATCGCCACACATACCGCCGAGCTTAAGATCGGGTATCAAAACTGGATCGGGATCTCCAGCAGGCTTCCCTGCGTGTCCGCGCGGCGGCTTCTCGGCGTGATCGAGCCAGGGCAGAGCGCATCGCCACCCGTGAGTACCTTTGTCAGCGTCGCACTAATTCGTGTCTTGTGTCAGTCTCAGCGGCTCGAGATACTATCGCCCGGCTGGAGAAACGGATTAACCAAGTCGAGAAATCCCAAAAGTCGCGTCAAGACCTCGAGCTCGCGCTCACAGCGATTCAGCAGGAAAGAGACAGTCTGGCGGTCCAAATAGATGAGTTGATCGGCCAGCTTGGTGAGCGTTTCATGGAGGTCACCGATCTACGGGCCGAGACGGGCCAGGCGCAAGAAAGATTGTCCAGCATCGCGTCCTTTCTCCCTTCCGCCCTGAGTCACAAACGGGCACGCTCCTAGTCAGATTCTCCAGCCCAGTCTGCTCG